GAAAGCATTGTGCACCACATTCAAATGCAAGGTGATGCGCCACGGTGAAACACATAGAAATATACGCTCGCGCCGGTTGCTATCTGAGCGCAATACGACTCAAATGATTTCAAACAACGACAAACCATTTTCATGTCCAGCAGGAAGCATGCATTTCCAGGTAGCTTCCATATAACTGCTGCCATTCGAATCCCTTTTAGCGATTACTCAATTGGGTTCCACGACTCTTTCTATAAATTTGGAAAATTGTAAGTACCAAAATCAGTTGAGAAATTCAAAGAAGGTTGGTTGATGAGCAAGGGCCGACGCATCATGCTGGACAGCGGCACGCCCTAATTCATGAACAGCAGCAGAAAATCGCCTGATCCACCGAAAATAGCTGCATGCCCTTGTCCGTTTGCTCTAGACGCACCACACTCCATAATGCGATCATCACCGCACAAAAAACCTTACCTCCGCGACTTGTCCAGGCTGCGCCAATTATTGCGTTGCACGGCGTACTGCGCGACCACGACAGCACCGCAATTCTGTCAAACGCATTAAACCCGATAAAATAAGCAGCGGCAAAGTTAGCGATAATACATTCTCAACAATCGTCCATAATAAATCCTGAAAGAAATTCAATTCGCTGAGAAATCCCTCAACTTTCTCAGCAGCGCTACCAAGACAGATTACAGTTTGTTCGGTCCTTCGCCGTGTTCATATATGCCGAGAAGTTAGGCATAATGCTCTGTCGAATTCCTGGAGTACGGAAACCCTCGTTAGTGGCCTACAGTTGTAGGTGAATACCGAGAGAATGGCGGCATCCATTTAAGTAGCTGGGATTCCAAACAGCCCGTTGTGCTTCTATTGCTGGTCCGACGTGGTAGAAGGGATCAAAGACGGCGCACTGTACTGAGACCTATTTTATCATTTCTCCTCATTCATTTCCCATAGTGCGTTAAGTAGTGTAAATTAACGTTTCTGCGTGCACAACTATCTGGCATTTGCTGCACTAGTGCCCCGGACAACTCTTTTTGATCAACGATGAATGGGTCAAAAGACAGCTCCCCATTCGTGCTGATGCTGGCTCATACAACAAAGCTTAGCCGGGACAAACGCGGCGCACTGACTTATCGACATGCCAGACCCGTCGACACTGTTTAGTTATTTTTCACCCACACACTGTGATGGGTTGGGATTTAGGGGAGCTTACTACCAGTAAAACATAGAAGTAGGACAACGTATTATCGAAGGTCCATCTCAGGGATTAGCTGCAGAGGAAGCAAAATCATTCTCCTAAAGAAGGCTGTAATAAGACTGGTATGGACAAGCGATACTTCAAGCTAGGTGGCTCAAGCAGCTGGAGTACCGAAAACCAACGCTCCTCCTCATCAAACGCATAACATCCCTTCCCTCCGCCCTCGCCAAAAACACTCGAAGAAGCAGAACTCCTCCCTCCACGTTGCTAAAACGACCTCACGCAGTCAAACCACTATCTACTTCAACTTTGACAACGTGCCATTAGGTGTTCGTTTTGAGATCCGGGAATTGCGTTGTTGTTTAAAGCAGGCACAATATGATTTAAAGCTTGCTGGAGGGCGGTACGGGTCTTGTGGCCTATTTCTGTTGGCGTGCGTGGTCGTATCCACGTATTTCCGGCCTTTTGCCCAGTTCCACGTGGAAGATCAATCAATAAGTGGGCGTTTGCCCTGCAGCATTCTGTCCTTCTCATGTTACTTGGTATGTTCGTGCGGTCGGGGCAGTTGCGTGCTGGCATGTCGTCTCCTTCCCTCTTGATGATATGAGACTTCTTGCTGTTCATCCGCGACGGAATACCGACATGTCAGGCGGGGCCACTCCATAGCGTGCCACCGCTTATTCCCCTAACGAGTCGCGCTTGTTGTGGATGAGATTAGAGGGCAACTACTAAAACTCGGGTCGGCTCGGCTCAGTTGGCTCAGGAATCCAGATGCAGCGATGAGGAGTGGGAGTAGAGGCTGGAGGTAAAGGGAGGGAGTAAGGGCAAGGTGAGAGCCGAAATTGCTGATTTAGGTTTCGAGGGTCGTGACGAGAGGGAAGAGGACGGAGTTGGTAACTGGGAAGAAGCTGAGAATTGCTTGGAGGTAGGAAGTGGAAACAACAGAATTTATAGAGGAGAGAACCTGTGTAGGTCGTTATGCTCAGCATGAAAATTGATGTTGCGGGAAAGTTAGCAGTGTTCAATCGCGACACCTGGAACGTCGCTCCTAGACAGAAATACAAGAACAAGGGTCCCCCACAACTCGGGCCTTGATCCAGAAATGCGTGCATATTGCGCGGCCGATTTTAGAAGAGCTCGGTGGTACTGGCCGACTATCAGCCGGATAGCTTTTCA